GGATTTAACTTCCTTTATTTTAATTGTTTAAAATATCCAATATTTATCCATTTCTAAGCCAAATTTGGTTATTTTTTGAACTTGGATTTTGCAGAATACAATCAAAATCCAAATTTGATCAAACTTGGATTTTAGTAATTTTTTCCAGTGTGGTTCATCTTTGGGCATATAGCACACAGCATGCGCAATATTTGGTTTACTTGGACTTTCATATATTATGTAAGGATTTTTCATCTGTAAACTGTCAATAATTGTCTCTGTGGTATGTTTCGTAGAGGTTGCAGTTACAGCAATCATTTCACTGAAGGTGCTAGAGCTCTCAGTTCATGTAACATAGAGTAGGTCTCCCTAAATGTAGCCTTGTTAGTATTATTTGAGGTTCCCCTACAACATATGAAACATGAACATATTACATGTTTTTGTATTGAATAAAGTTCGTTTGATGTTACATTGCACTTAGGAAACAGGTAAACTTTTTGATAAATTGATAAAAATTCAATACTAACCATTGCTTTATAACATGTGCTTCGTCCACTGCGATGCCACACAATTTAGAATTTTAAATGCTGCTACTCAATAACTTTCTCCATCGTTTGCACTTTACCCAAGCTTCTGGAGTCCCATACACAATTGAAAATTTTCCCTCTTCAATGTCCTTAATTTCTTCATCTTTTATATCACTCAAGCTTCCTGCAGATATTCCAAGCCGATGAAGGCTACTCACTTGATCCTTCATTACACTGATCAGTGGTGAAACAACCACGACTATATGACCAGAAGTATCAGTGTACATGCTATCGAAAAGCAATGGCAGAGCAAGAAATATCATTGATTTTCCACTTCCAGTCGGAAGATTTACGAAAATGTCCCTTCTTTTAAGCACGAATTGTACCAAGGCTTCGCGTTGATAATTATTTAAACATCTTAAAAAATTATGTTTGTTGCAAACTATTTGCACTGCTTCGTCGAACGACGTAATTTTGTTTACCAAACTCACGCGAAATTGTAGCCAATCAGGATCCAGCTCCCAGATTATAGCAGGTTAACTGTGATTGGTGAGAGAATGGGAATGCAATGTAGTGCTCGATTGAGCAGATGTTAGTGGGGAGGGAAGAGTTTACCGGACCGAAACTAAGAACGGCTGCTGAGGAGACTAGGGATTTTGTTCAAAATGGCAAAAATTACTTTTCACTGTA